ATTGCCAACCTGTTCACCAATATTGTTAATTAGCTGCTTTTTCCCCTATTTATAATCTATAAAAAAAAATTGCATGTTTTATAGGGCTCTTTATGGCGTTGCAAGACAGGATAATATCTTGCGGTTGGACTTTAACCGTGTACGGTTTAGTTCTCCGGTTCCTAATAGGACCGGCTACCTCGGCGATCGGTGCCATATTGTTACGTCTACACGGTGATGTTTTGAAAATAGTTATAGTCCAGGTAATTGATAGACAACAACATAATATTAATTCAGTCAAAAATAGAATACATTTTTAGGGCCAAAATTTTTGTTATTAATTAATATGATTGATATTCTTCTATATATATGTGTGCATGTACAGTCTGCATTACCACAAGCTGTGACGACATTTATTTTCGCCAAAGAATATGGACTGCATGCCGACGTTCTCAGCACAGCGTAAGATTTGTCATTAAATAAAAATATTTAATTTTTATTTCAAAATTTATAATAAAATAGTATACATGTGGTGAATTAGATTTTAATGTATATTTTTCTTTGTTTTAACTTGTGCAGAATTATCATTGGGACCATCCTTTCTTTACCCGTGATGATTGGATATTACGTCATTCTCGAACTCTTACCTTAATTAATATCTTTATGGGACATCCTTAATTAATATTTGTATGAGAAATTTTTAAGAGATGCAACATTACCTGGATTGTAAAATCAATGTTTTTTTTTATTTATATTTAATTATTAATTAAAGGTATTTGTGACAATAGCTTATTACAGTGATAGCAGTTGACTAGTTGATGACCAACAACAGCACTACATACAGCACTAGCAATAATAATATAAGTAAAATAGTGTTGGAACAAGGAGCTTTTTGTTGACAAAATTAATGAGGCCGGGTATGAATATAACTATATTGGACAAATTAATAATTTCAAATCAAATATTAACAAAGTTCTAAAATAAATATAATATACAAATTATAATTCATAATAAAATTCTTCACCACCACTTGATTACGGGTAATGTGGGGTAATTTGCCTTTTTTTTTCTTTTCAAGTTTAATGATTTATTAATTTAAAGTTTTTTTTTTTTTTTTTTGGAATTCAATTGACAAATTGCATTGTTCTAATAAAAAATTTGAGTGTTTATTTTATTCTTATTTTTTAAAAATAAAATAAATTATTGTTAATAATCTAGCCTCTATAGTATAGTGATAGTGTATTTGCTTCGTAAGCAAAAGATCGTGAGTTCAATCCTCACTAGAGGCTTTTAACAACTTATCGACTACAAACTACTTCATTATTATACTTGAATAAGGTATTAAAAATATTATAAAACAATATAATATTAGTATATGGACAAATTAATAATTTCAATTCAAATATTAACAAAGTTTGAAAATTATTAAATTAATATACAAATTGAAATTCATAATAATTCATAACAAAATTTAAACTAATACAAATATGATAGCTAACCCTTTTTCAAATTGATGGGCCCTAGAAGCCAAGTCCAAAGAATAATTAAAGTAAGAGATGGACAGTGGACTTGACCAAGGGAATCCAATTAGGGAAGTGGAGTAGTGAGCATAGTAAGTGTAAAACTAAAATAAATTATTTTTAATTGTTTAGAGGCTTCTACCAACCCAGTGACTACACTATCTATCACATTATAGTAGTCCTCTGACTATTGAAGCCTAACACCAAAACTAACAGAGGACCATTTTGACTTAAAATTCAATAGTCGGAAGACCACTTTGGGTGTAATTAAAAGTCAAGGAACCAATTTGAGAAAAGGTCATAGTCATATGACCATTTTGGGAATTACCTCAATAAGGTATTAAACAATATAACTATATGAACAAATTAATAATTTCAATTCAAATATTAACAAAGTTCTAAAATATAATTTTTTTTTTTTTTTAAAGTAGAGGGAGAGGGCAGGGGGAGTAATTAACCACAAAGTTTCAAGTTTGTCTCCATGTGGAAGCGGCCTATATGGACCCTGCTAAATGAAAAATGCCGTTCAAGCAAAAGATTTCTTCTCTAATCTCCTAGAAAAGTTCAGTCAGATGACCAACAAGTTTTCTATATCATATTTTTAAAATAATTATTTACTACGGAGTAATTTTTTTTATTCATGAAAAGAGTATTAGTAAAGGAATAATTACTCATACGTATATGTTTGTTTGTTTGAACCAATAAGGCACAATGTCAACAAATAGGCCCATCAACTACTACGAAGTGTTCAATTCCCACCATGAATTAAATTAAGTGTCAAATAAGTCTATCTACCAGCTAAATTCATTCAATTGGCTTTTTTTACAGGTTACCAACAAGTTGTCTATTTAATTATTAAAATAAATAATTAAAATTTTTCAAAAAAAAAATTAATTAAAAAATTAAAATTAAAATTTAAAAAAAAAAAAAAAAAAAAAAAAAAAGAGAGAGAGAACAGCCACCCGGCTGTCTGGCGAGGACAGCCGGTGGTTGTTCTCTTTTTTTTTTTTTTAATGTTTTCTTGTTTAATTTTTTTTTGTTTAATTTTTTTAATTATTTATTTTATTAATTAATAGGCAACGTGTTGGTAACCTGTAAAAAAAGGTCAATTGAACAAATTTAGCTAGTAAATATATCTATTTGACACTTAATTTAGTTCATGGTGAGAATTGAACACTTTGCAGTAGTAATGGACCTATTTGACATTTGTGACAACCAATAATAATCCTCATACGTATATGTTCGTATACGAAACTCATATAGAGAAGGCTTCTTCTTCCAAACTTCTATATGTTTGTTTGTTTGAACCAATAATAATCCTACTTCGTCATTCATCAAAGCTAGGAAAGGGATTGGATTACACGTGTCATATCACTTCATCAATTTAGAAGGCAATATGTTTTTAAATCAAAAAAGGAGGGGTGAACTTAGGGTCTAAGGAACCTATCATTTGCTAGCCTCCCAACGCAAATTGGAGGCAAATTATTGTATGGACCATGGTCCACACAATGTTACGTAGATTATAATAAAATGTACATTTTTAATATACTAAATGTATATTATTTTTGTATTGAATGTACATTATATAATATAATATACACTCAGTATAAAAATAATGTATATTTCCTAAATATAATATACATTATTTTACAGTATACAAAATATGGTCCATACAATTTGTGTAGACCATAGTCCACACAATAATGATTGCACATTGGAGATGCCCAAGGCGTCATCGTTCATTTGTCTACGTAATATTTGTTGAAGATAGCAAAGACAACCCCATCCATCTATCTTCCCTATGGCATGCACGCAAGTTTGGCCATCATGTCCACAACTTGATTACGGGTAATTAACAAGGGGGTAATTTGCCTCCTTTTTTTTTCTTTTTCAAGTTTAATGATTTATTAATTTAAAATTTTTTGAAATTTAATAGACAAATTGCATTTTTCTAATAAAAAGTTTGACTGCTTATTTCACCGTTATTCTTTTAAAAGGATAATAAATCATTTTTGATCACTTGGCCTCTATAGCATAGTGGTAGTGCGTTTGCTTCGTAAGCAAAAGGTCGTGAGTTCAATCCTTACTAGGGGCTTTCTACCTCCTTACATTGCGTTTGGTTGGAGAGAATTTAAATTACATTCCCACCTAATTTCAAAGGCCACTAAATTCCTTACTTTGGTTGAAAGGAATTGCAATTCCTTTACCCTCACATTTTTTAACCTAAAATTGATGCCTCACAACAACAATGCCCTTTCAATTCCTATGTATACCAAATATTGGAATTAAAATTTCCAGTAATTTTATTCCTATAAACCAAACACTGGAATTTAAATTCCCACTTTATTCCTAGTAATTCATCTCCATGAAATTGCAATTCTTTTCCCACGTAATTCCCTCCTTCCAACCAAACGCCCTGTTACAATTGTGAGAACTTATCAACTACAAACTATCTCATTATTATTATATTTGAATAAGGTATAAAAATATTATGAAACAACAATACTATATGGACAATTTAATAATTTAATTCAAATATTAACGAAGTTCTAAAATAAATTATTGTGAGAACTTATCAACTACAAAAACTATCTATCAACTACAAAAACTATCTCGTTATTATATTTGGGAAGATATGGTCTGGATCGTTTATGTTTGTTGATGCATTTTATATATCATTATTTAAGATTTTTATAAATTAGACAAATGTGCTTGTTCTCTAGCAACTTAGTTATAGTAATCAATTGTTATCCTAATTCATTTGCATAGAGAATATATTTTTGTCTAGATATATAGCAATTTTGTCATTTTGAAAAAAAAAAAAAAATAATATCAACGATTGTATTTACACATTATTGAAAACCTCTTTGTAGACGAAATTGGTAGTCGCAACACAATCTTTTCCATCCTCGTCTAGAGCTAACACCTTTAGGCCATTAGAATGGGTGACTCGGGAGAAAGTTACGTACAATTGTCCGTGATTAAAGACCGGTTTTTTTAGCAATAACCCAACGTGATTTAGTGTTTGACATTGGCTTTTGTTGATAGTCATGCCATATGTAAGCATCAACGAGAATTGTTTACGCTGGAACTTGAAGGGCAATCTCATATCAGAAAAATGAGAGACAATTGGGGGATAAGAACTTTGGTTTCTTCATGTGTCTCATTAACTATTCTTGCTTCAACAATGTGATCTGTCAATCTTGTGATGATGAGCCGCGTCCCGTTACAAATACCAAGAGAGTGGACTATGTTCCGCAATAACATAATAGGTGCACCGACCTTTAATGTCAATGAATCATCAGGAAGACCCGACAATCTAGAACTATTTAAGAATTTAGAAGTGTGTACTTCTGATAGATTTTCATTGTCTGATTATGCCATACACAAAGAGTCACAACTTAAATATGTTTGTCCTTCTGCAGCATTCATGTCGCATATGTATTGGTTAATTTGATCAACGACATCTAAAGTTAGCGAGAGGATCGCTCGGCCCTCTAGTTATGATTCATCAAGCATGTTATATCTCGAGCTTGGGAATGTGCTTTCCACTATAGTTGCTATGCGATCGTGTCCACACTTCAACAAAAAACGTGCCAGAATATCGTTCTCAAATGAACCGCCGTTTACAACCCCTGCAATCTCATTTCCGATGTCTGCAATCCATTTTGAAAACCAATCAACCGTCTGTGTATCTTCCTCTGAAGCTAAGGTCCATAGTCTCAAGTTCTTTGTGAGCCTTAATACCTTGCAATTTGTCCACATGTATGAAGAATTATAAGTTGCTCCGACAACTACTGGTCTTGTTTCTTTCGGAATAACAAGTAGGATATGTCTAAAATTGCAGCCCAAAACTATTGTCTTTCCACCAAAAGTCTTTTCAGCACTACCCAGTATGGTGAACCTCAATAGAGTCCTCATGGTTTTGTCCAAAGCCTCAAAACAGTGTTTGTGCGCCATTAGTGCTTCATCTCATATTATCAATTTGCTCATTATTATAAACTCAGCAAGGCCAATGCCTTGCGATATATTGCACGTGGAATCTTCGTTCAAAAAGAGTGGTATAGCAAATATGGAATGCGCTATCCTGCCTCCAGGTAGGAGCAAAGATGATATTCCACAGGAAGCAATATTCACAACAATATCTGTGCAATTAATTACCATAATAATTATTAGTTAATTAGCATAAAATTACCATATAAATTGCATGGAATAATGAAAATGATAATTTATTAATAATGAATAATTTTTTTAGTTTGTACAACTATATATAAGTACTAGGCTAATAATCAAAATTATTATTCTAAGTTATTTTACAAAAAATAATTTTCTTGCTAACAATTAAAGTAAAAAAATTGTTTATTTAAAAAATGAAAATAAGTACAAGATCAACCCCTTTTAATCTAATTGAGTACAAAATCATGTTTGAACTATAAAGAAAAAATTCCTAAAATGGTCATTCGACTATGGCATTTTCTCAAATTGGTCCTTTGACTTTTAATTGCACTCAAAGTAGTCATCTGACTATAGTGAAAATTCTGAATTACCAGTTTTACTCATCATTTTCACACCCACTTAACACCAAAATTAACAGAGGACCATTTTGACTTAAAATTCAATAGTCGGAGGATCACTTTAGGTGCAATTAAAAGTCAAGAAACCAATTTGAGAAAAGGTCATAGTCAGATGACCATTTTGGAAATTAACTCAATAAGGTATTAAACAATATAACTATATGGACAAATTAATAATTTCAATTCAAATATTAACAAAGTTCTAATATATGAATTAAAAAAAAAGGGGAGGGGGGAGGGGGCAGGAGAAGTAATTAACCACAATATTTCAAGTTTGACTCCATATAGAAGCGGCTTATATGGATCTTGCTAAATGAAGAACGCCGTTCAAGTAAAGGATTTCTTCTCTAGTCTTCTAGAAAAGTTAAGTCAAATGACCAACAAGTTTTCTATATCATTTTTTTAGAATAATTATTTGCTACAGAGTAATTTTTTTTATTCATGAAAATAGTATTAGTAAAGGAAATAATTACTCATACGTATATGTTTGTTTGTTTGAACCAATAATAATCCTCATACTATATGTTCGTATACGATACGAAACTCATATAGAGAAGGCTTCTTCTTCCAAACTTCTATATGTTTGTTTGTTTGAACCAATAATAATCCGCCTTCGTCATTCATCAAAGCTAGGAAAGGGATTGGATTACATGTGTCATATCAAGTCAATAAAAGCATTCTACTTCATCAATTTAGAAGGCAATATGTTTTTAGATTAAAAAAAAAAAAAGGAAGGGTGAATTTAGGGTCTAGGAAACTCATCATTTGCTAGCTTCCCAATGCACAGTGGGGATGCCCAAGGCGTCCTCGTTCATTTGTCTCATAATATTTATTGAGGATAGCAAAGACAGGTTCAAATAGTTGGAGTTGTATGTAGGATAAGAAAACTTGTTTGACAGGTTTAAAATTTTAATTTTTTTTTGATATTATCTAATTAAACAAATTAGATAATATCAATGTTATCCAAATTATATTCAAATATTTTAATTTAAAAAAAATAATTTTATCAAAATTTCAATGCCTATGCAGTGGTACATAAACCTTATTTCTTTCCGGACCGGGTGATTTGATTAATAAATAAATAAAAATACCATCAATCCATAATACCATATTAGTTAGAAGTTTCTTAGGTTTGAGAATGCCACTAAGGTTGTCTGCTTCCGAAAACGGCACTGGAAAACAGGAGAAAGGTGTTAAAACTTAAAACCCTATATATAACTACACAATTAAAATATAATTAAAAGTCAATAAACTCGAGTGGCGTAACAGTATATAACCATCCTCATTCACCCACCCACACAACAACCTACGATTACAGCAAAATTATTATTATTATTAGTATTATTAAAAAAAAAAAAAAAAAAAACCAAAAAAAAAATGATAGGGTGGGACGACATATACAAGGTGGTGGTGGCCATGGCGCCGCTCTACGTAGCGATGATCTTAGGTTACGGCTCAATTCGGTGGTGGCACATGTTTAAACCCGACCACTGCGACGCCATTAACCGCTTAAACTGTTTCTTCGTCCTCCCTTTCTTCAACTTCCATTTCATGGCCCAAGTCGACCCCTACACCATGAACTATCTGTTCGTCGCCTCCGATGTGGTGGCCAAGGCAATGGTGGTGGTGGCGCTGGTGATATGGGCCAATTTTGTCAAGAACGGAGGGTTAGATTGGTCAATTACCACTTTCTCCTTGTCCACCCTCAACAACACCCTCGTCGTCGGCGTGCCGCTCATGCAGGCCATGTACGGCAAGCTGGGCTACGACCTCGTCCTCCAGGCGGCGGCGATTCAGGCGTTGCTGTGGTTCACGCTGCTGCTTTTCGGGCTCGAGTTCCGGCGGACGCGGTTGGGGCAGATTTCGGCCGCGGCGGATAATGCGCGGCCGGAGATTGAGAGAGATCTCGAGGGAAATGCGGAGGGTGGTGAAACTGAAACCACCGCCACCGCCACCGCCGCCGAAACGCCGGCGGCTCCGACTAATATTGGGCCGTCGTACACGGCGATGATGAAAGCTGTTTGTCTCAAACTTTCCAAGAACCCTAATACTTATGCATGTTTTCTTGGTCTGATTTGGGCCCTCATAGCAAATAGGTATTCTCGATCTCTTGATGCTGATCAATTTTATTTTATTTGTGAATCTGATGTTATTCAATACCCATATAACTTAAAATATATATATATATATATATATATATATATATATAATACTCTGTATAAATGATACTGGTAATAATTATATTGATACTTCAATTTTTTTTTTTTATGTATACATTTTGATGTGATTAAATTGTTGAATTTTAATGTCAGGTGGCATTTGACTATGCCTAGCATTGTAGATGACTCAATCATGATCATGGCAAAGGCAGGCAGTGGTGTTGCCATGTTCAGTACAGGTAATTAATCACATCATACCAATAATGTTTCAGTTGTGACAGATTTACTAGGTTTCCATTTTCTGCGTATATGTACTCCTTGTTTTGTGCCCTTGACCGGGGAATATCTGTTAATTAACTTCTTCAAGACTTTATCAAATCAAGAATATATTCCTTCTTGGTTAACCTATTAGCTGGGTAATTGTAACATTTCAAATTCGAGACAGACCACCGGTCAACTATAGGTAATTTAAGTTTTATTTTCAATTAATTTCACCAGAAGTTCATTGTCTTTGCTGGAAATTTCAAATTTAGTCCCAGACTATCGTTTTTGTCATTTTTGTCATTTAAAATCCATAGATTATTGTTTTTTGGACACTTTTAGTCATTTTCATGACTTTTTTTATTTTTAGTAAGGGTATTTTTGTCTCTTCATATTTTTCTTTTGTTATTTTTATGGTTTCAACTGGTTACTGGTTGAATTGGTTTAGGACTTTACTAAAAATCAATAGTCTAGGGATATGGTAAAAATGATAGTCTGGGACTAAATTTGGAATTGCTACCAAAGACAAAGGACCTCTGGTGGAATTAATTCTTTTATTTTTTTTATTAAGTTAGTGTTTATTACGTGCATACCATTGAATGGTCAGTAAAAGATTCGATTCTCCCTACTAAATATGTCAGTCTTTGTAGTGTGATTTATATAGAATATTAATTCTTCACACATACTCTCAGGTCTTTGTAGTGTGATTTATATAAAATGTTAATTCTTCACATACTCGCAGATAATGACGATAGATTTCTAACATTAACCAAAAAAAAAAAAAAAAAAAAAAAGAAGAATATATTTACTGTCATTGCCAACCTGTTCACCAATGTTGTTAATTAGCTGCTTTTTCCCCCATTAATAATCTTTAAAAAAATTTTGCATGTTTTATAGGGCTTTTCATGGCGTTGCAAGACAGGATAATATCTTGCGGTTGGACTTTAACCGTGTACGGTTTAGTTCTCCGGTTCCTAATAGGACCGGCTACCTCGGCGATAGGTGCCGGATTGTTACGTCTACACAGTGATGTTTTGAAAATAGTTATAGTCCAGGTAATTAATAGACAACAACATAATATTAATTCAGTCAAAAATAGAATACATTTTTCGGCCCAAAATTTTTGTTATTAATTAATATGATTGATATTCTTCTATATATATGTGTGTGCATGTACAGTCTGCGTTACCGCAAGCTGTGACGACATTTATTTACGCCAAAGAATATGGACTGCATGCCGACGTTCTCAGCACAGCGTAAGATTTGTCATTAAATAAAAATATTTAATTTTTATTTCAAAATTTATAATAAAATAGTATACATGTGGTGAATTAGATTTTAATGTATATTTTTCTTTGTTTTAACTTGTGCAGGATTATCATTGGTACCATCCTTTCTTTACCCGTGTTGATTGGATATTACGTCATTCTCGAACTCTTACCTTAATTAATATCTTTATGGGGCATGCATCCTTAATTAATATCTGTACGAGACATTTTTAAGAGATGTAACATTACCTGAATTGTAAAATCAATGTTTTATTTTTTTATATTTAATTATTAATTAATTAAAGGTATTTGTGACAATAACTTATTACAGTGGCAGCAGTTTGACTAGTTGAGGCCAACTCCAACCGCACGCCATTTTGGCCACCAACGCCAAAATGGCGCCCAATTTGGCGCTGGATTGTCTCCAATGAGGCGCCAAATTGGGTGCCATTTTGTCATGAAGCTATAGTGCAGCACTGTAGCTTTACGCCAAAATGGTGTAAGTCATTGCATTCCACTTTTGTTCCTGGTCTTTTTTATTAATTTCTTTTGTATTCTTGTTTTGATTTTATGAATTTACATGTTTTATTAAATACATAAACATAAAATTTGAATAATTAAAAATAAATTATATCATTTGAAAGATCTCATCAAGACAATTAAAACAAGCCAAATATTATATATATATTAATTAAAAA